AGCAAGTCATCTATGCGAGGGAGAGGATACTTGTTCTTAATAGTAACCTTATTCAAGTGATGGTAATCAGTGCATAATCTCATGCTACCGTCCTTTTTCTTAACAAATATAACTGGTGCTCCCCACGAGGACACACTTGGCCTGATAAACTGCTTAGCCGAAAGCTCCTCAATATGCTTCTTTAACTCGGCTAATTCCGGTGGTGACATCCGATACGGAGCCAGAGAGATAGGCCCCACACCAGGCAATAGATCAATCGTGAACTCAATCTCTCTATGAGGCGGAAGTTGCAGAATTTCATCTGGAAACACATCCACAAAATCCCCCACCACGGAAATATTGTTGATCTCCTTATGACTTCCACCCACTAAACCCCCCACAAAGACATATCTCAATGCCCTGGCCCTCAAAGCCTTTCTAACCTGTAACACAGATAGATATGGGGAACAACTAGTAGCAGAATCATCAGCAGAAAGCACAATCCTTTTTTCACAACAGTCTATCATAGCACAGTTCTTCGACAACCAGTCCATTCCCAAGATAACTTGAAGGCTGATCATAGGTAAGCAAATAAAATCCAGCACGTAATCTCGGCCTTCATACTCAAATTCAACATCTTTACATAAAACGGATGTATAACACTTCTCTCCAGTAACAGTCACCACTTTCATAGGAGGAGAAATGTTGTACATTTGTAAATTTAGCCCAACGGCCATAAAATCAGACATGCAGGAGTGTGTAGCTTCTGAGTCAAACAAGACTTCAACATCCATATTATCAATATAAATTATACCTTTCACAAGGTTAGGAGCCTTTACTGATTGTTGACGGTCCATGGTGTACACTCTACCAACCGTCCGAGACTCCTTCATAGGTGGAACAACCGAGACAGGGACAACAGTATCTTGAACTGCCATAGTACTCACTTCATTCTGAGGACACTGCCTAGAGTAGTGGCCGAACTTTCCACACTTATAGCAAATAACTTCACCTGTAGCACACGGACCTCTATGCTCTTTTCCACATCCTCTACACTTGGGAGGAGGTCCTCTATCAACAAGGTTCTTCTGAGTTCCGGGCTTCTTGAATAAGTCAAGTGGATTGTTCACACTCAGCTTTTTACCCTTCATTTTCTTGTCCTTCCAATAATTTGAGCCTGTTGCTCTATTGGCATTAGGTGCTTGGGTCTCAGAAGGCTTCTTGGTCTTGGACACATTGTATACTTCTTCTACCTTTCGGCACTGATTCACAAATCTGCTAAACTCTCGGATGTCACAATTTGACATCTTTCGAGACATCTTCTCATTCAAACCCCATTGAAACTTGGAGGTCATCTCAGCTGGAGTAGGTAGGGCTCTCCCATAGTTGGCATATTTCACCAACTCGTTGAATTTAGCAAAATATTGGTCAATCGACATCGACCCTTGTTTCAGATCATTGTACTCATTATGTTTCTTCTCCCTAGCCTCCCTGGGGAAGTAGTTGTCTAAGAACAACGTCTCGAACAACCGCCAGGTGATTTCCCGGCCTTCAGCTTCTAATGGTTGCACTGTAGTCATCCACTAATCTTCAGCTTCACCTTCCAGCATATACACAGAGTAGACCAAATTCAACGTATCAGGGCATCTCATCACCCTAAAGATCTTCTCCATAGATTGAAGCCATTTTGCTACCACCAGTGGGTCATAGCCTCCATTAAAAGAAGGAGGTTTGTGTTTTCTGAAAGCCGTCAATCTCCTTTCTTCGGCTTTATGTTCAACGAAATGCTCTAAACGTGGTTGACGAACCTCAGTGCGATGACTATGACTACCAGAATGGTGACTGGCCTCACCATCATTGTTACCAGCTCCACTCTCTTCGTGGAGAGTATTTGGAGTAGGCGTGGTGGTGTGAGGAGGAGGAGTGGGTTGCAGGTTCTCAGGTCTAGCATCCCTCAACGTCCTTAACTCATTCATCATTGCAGCCATAGCATTCTGCATATCTTCATTCGTCTTCATCAATGTTTCATTAGCCTGGCGGCTCGCAGCCAACTCCCTTTGCATGGCTGCCATAGTGGCCGCCACAGGATCTGACTGTACATCTGTTGCCCCACGACCACTTCGGGGCCTAACTAAAGCAGCCAAAACAGGTTCTGGCTGAGCATTGGCAATCAATGGTCCAGGGTTATTCTGGTTCCTCTTCATGACACTACAAATGTTACACAAAGAAATGAGTTGATCAGGCCCACACTCAGTGATCACAAATGCAATAATCATAAAGAGTACCAAAACAACTATAAAGCATTAAACACCAAGCATATATAACAATAATCCACAAATTTCCCTACAAAACTGCTCTGATACCATTAAATGTAACACCCCATTCTAGAACCGATTTGTTAACATTGTTTTATGATATTAAGCGCAGTTACAATCACATTGGTTCACTTAAAAACTCGGATAAATTTTTTGTTTTCCTTTTTAAAAACGCCGAGTTTGAAATAACCAATTACGTGACCATAACATTATTACTTTGCGGAATAATCAAATTTAAACTTAACATCATATCATTATTCTGTTCGAGTTCAATACTAAACTCTCTTCGCCTTTTATTAAATTTGAATTTATATATACTTACTTTTATTGTCTCCAATCTCTAATATGTTATAGTATTTTTCATTAGCTACGCGTGGGTTCAAACCGCGCTCAAATCGGAGCATCGTAGCTCAAGTTACACATTTTCTAAGAAAATGGATGCTGAAATTTCCAGGACCCCCACGCCCATACCGTGAATCTCACGCTCATAGCGTGGGAAGTCAGAGAGGTTGAGCGCGAATGTTACTGCCTCTTTCTGGAAGCTGGCTCCCTTAGCGCCAGTTTGGCGCCCATAGCGCCATACAACAGGTCTGGGTGCCGAAAATAGGGCAATTTGACCTACTTATGATGTTTCATCCATAACTTTAGTTATACTTATCCAAATTACACAATCTTGGTCTCTATGGAAAGCTAAGAAATTTATCTACAACTTCCATTAAGACACAAGGGTCCAAATCTACCATATAGGATACGAAAATTGGACAACAAGACAGAATATCTTTACTTTTACTTGGATTTTCAACCTAAAGGTCTTCTTTCACCTAATTGACAATTATATAATTCTTTCAATATATGAATTCTAGTCTTTCAAAGTACTCATACACTAAGAGTAGAACGCATACCATTTCATCATACATATATCTTCATTAATTACAACATGTATTAATTACAAAATCAGGGGACTTAGCTACCAAAAGAACTATGATCAACCCCTTGGCTCTCAACAACAAAAGAGGCACCAAAGGAAGTGAGCATAGGCTAAGTCCATCCAATAAAGCATGATATACAAATGACATTCGACTTTCAATTAACAATCCGATACATATGAACTACTACATGTCATGTATAATCCAAAAAGAATGCAACATCTTCATGCATCTACTAATCCAAATATGGCCACTTGCCACCAGAGGCTCCTGCAGCATCCTTACGTGAAAGGGGGTCCCCACAACACGGGATGAGATATACGAATATATCCAGTAAACCAGCGGTCCTTGGAGCATCTCTCCTCCCCATAGTTCAAAAACAGTCTAATAGCAATAACAATAATAATGCAATAAATACATATATATGCAATGTGTAAACAACATCTTCAGGAGAAATTCCTCGAGCTCTCAAGCCGTCCTAAGGATACTCAGATGCAAATAGTCCTACTGGCCAGCTAAACTACCAAGTATGATTTACGCATCGTCATGCAACATACCAACATAGGGAAACACCATCCTATGCCACACCAAAGCATACACATACGTATAACAAAGCATTAAATTATTTCATTGCGTTTATATACACTATCACTACCACTACCCATTCAAGGCTTGGTGGAACAATCAAGAGAATTACACCCAAGGTCCGAAGGCTTACCTTAAAGCTTCAGTTCAACCTTTGTTCACCAAGCTTCAGTTCAACCTTTGTTCACCAACAAGTTTTGCCACCAATTACAATAATCAATTTCACACACCACCACCTACACACGGTGTAATGCAATCAAAACATTGCATTCAAGAGTATCTTATAATCATAAACCAAGCTATCAAATTCATGCCATAACAAAAGCATGGACTTACCTATTCCAATGAGCTAATCAAGCTCCATAGCTTGCTCCAATGGTTGGTCACTCAATGTTGGTCCAAATGCCTCAATCCTAGACATAACATAGACACCATCAATATTCAACTAAACCAAACCATTGATTTCTAATGCATGAAAGTCCAACATCAAGCATTAAACCTTGCAATTTTCAAAGCATAACCAATGACTATCGAAGCTCATTTTCACCGATTAAATGTCATTCCTAGCATTTTTCATAACATATACTAAGTCTCAATCCTCCTAGAACATAGCCAATCAACTCACATAATCATAAAACTCCAAAACACTATTCATCAAAACCTAAATCATGTAAAACTCAAGGAATTTGTGTGAAAGAGAGTGAAAAACTCACCACAATGGATCACACAACAAGGAATGGTTGTTCCTTAAGCTTCCATGGAGGTAGAAGCCAACAAATCCCTCAATTTCTCACATGGGTCGGATTTTTAGAGGTTTGAAATCTCACTCTACAAAGACTCCCACTCAAAACCAAGCTTTGATTGTGAAAGAGGGGAAGATTTGAAGTGGATTAGGCTTTGGAATCACTCAAAATGGTTAAGGATTGCACCAACTAGGGTTCCCCCTTCTTTTCCTCTTCTCATTCTCTTCTTCTTATTCTCTTCCTTTCTTTCTTTTTTTCTTGTCCACGACGGGTTGGGGAGGGATTTGGGTTCTTTCTATTGCATAGCCACTTAACATAAGTTAAGTGAGATCAAGTGGGTATTGGTTCATCTATCTATTCAACTCCATTAATTACCAAACTTTACCCAAATGTCTGGGATATTTTTCTAGGAATATGTCCACTTCCATTTTTTATATTTTGGGTACTTTTGCCTACACCCATTTATACCCCTTTATTTTCACTGAGTACATTTTTTTACCTCAAAAGTGACCCCAATTCACTTAATTAGGTCCTATACGTAATTTTACTCACTATTACATGCTTAATTATTCAATCACATTTAATTTACTAATTAATTAGGTTAGGGCTATTATAATATAGACATCAGTGTGAAATAAGTCGAGAATATACCTCCTCCATCTAGCTTGAAGCAATGGTTACAACAATAACAATGGTAGTGGAGTAGGGGTGGTGGTGACGACAATCGCAATGGCAGCGGCGGCGGTCATAACAACACTAGTGGGGTTGAAGCAAATTTAAATTTTAAGAAAAATAGTCTACTTTTTCCTTCTGTTTTTCTTATAAGAAAAAAAAATGTAAAATAAAGTAATTTTTTTGTTTTTTTAAGTTAATATCTAAATACTCATTTTTAGCTAAAAGTTTTTTTAAAAATATAGAAAAAAAGCCCATCAATCGGCTCATAGCATGCAAATATCGCATGTAATTAGAAAACTAAGCCGAGTATTTATGCATATGGTCGATTGTTACTTTGGATTTATAAGCCTAGAGTCCGAGGGTAAAGACGTGAGCTTTGGAAGAAGTTTGTAGGAAAAACTTTGTTTGCATGTAGAGCAAAGCTGGTATCGGGGTGGTAGGTAGCCGTAATTGTGATGTAAAACATTTTCAAATATTTAAGAAAAGAGTTTATTGAAAATAACTTCTGAAAACTCTATATATTATAAATAGCAAAAGATAATATACTTAAGAAAATATATATATTCTTTTCGAAAGAAGAAAAATATGAAAATCTCTGGTTCTAAATTTTGTTTAGAGATTGTTAATTATGTTTCTATATTTTAAAAGTTTGTGATCAGAACCATGTTTATCTGGTTGGGCTGACCATGTGATCTTCCTCTACGCAAGTAATTTGATGCAGCTTTAATCCATAAGTCTTCACGGGAACAAGATGGGGTGTACCTGCATGATATTCCAACGCTTAAGTCAGTTTCAATGTTCAAATAGGTTTATTCATGTAGAAGAATATGTGTGTCTTTGGTTAACACATTTCCATTTATAGTGGAGAGATGACCAGCTTTAGGAGATGTCTCTCCAAGTTTTTTGAGAGTGGTGAGGCGGCAACTCTTTCTAATTGGTTCTTGGTTGTGGCTAAGATGAGGTTCTTTCTTGGCAATGAAGTTTGTAGAAAGATTCATGGTTGAAGCAACCTTTGTTGAATGAAGCCTTTTCTTAATGGTGAAGGCTTTCAATATGGGTCTCATATTAATATTCTAGATAAAAAGTCCCCAAACTCTTAAAGTTTGATATATTATTCACATATTAAAAAAATATAAATATATTACTTATAAAGGTTTTCTTCGTTGTTTCCTCTTAATTTGCAATCACCAACTTTTCTAAAGGTTTCTTCCCATTCATAACCTCACAAAACACATAAATTGAAGACACTATCTTAAAGTTCCTCCCAAGTCATTGACCACAGATTTTATATCCAAGATAGACACATTTAGCTAGAAAAGAAAGTACAGATAGCAAT